TATTGTATAAAAAAATGATATAGATTACGATCTCTTGCATATTTTCTTGGATTATTCGATTATATGACAAATGTGAAAACAAAATTGGGGATTTTACTATATTTGGGAAATTGTTGTGAATTGTGAATATTCTTGATTTCCTCATTGTATGGTTGTTGTGATGGACTTGGATTACCTTCGAGAGATGCCGTAGAGTGTTAGATGTTAGTCTATCCCAATGGGGGGTGAGATGGTTGCCTAATGCTCGTAGTGGATCGTTGTTGTGCTCGCGATCACTATTGTTCACATATACACCGAGGAAAAGGGTTAGTATACTAGACACCTTGGGAGGATTTCGTCAATGCCGTAGGAGACGGTACACGCCCTTCCTAAAGAGATTTGTGATTGTTGGTTGGAATTGGTGGACTAGGCATGATCGTTAGGTAGATTCACGAGAAGCAATCAACATACATGGTACGGGGATGAACCAAAAATACATGGAATCGGGAGTTGGGTCGTTCTTGCCGATGCATTGGTATGAGACAATGCTTAGGGAGAAGCCCTTCTTAAATAGCTTAAATTAGAATTTTGTTTATCGATGCTAAACTCACTTTATTCTTTTAACTGATTATTGCTATTGTTTAAACTTGAGATCTCTTTTAAAATGTCACTGTTTTCATTCCAAACCTATATATATGTTAGTTGTGAAATGAGATCGACCGTTTGCTATGTTTTTCAAACCTTGTTTGAGTTGAGAGGATTTTGCTACAGAGCTTCGTGCTCACCCCCTACAAATAAAATTTTTCAGATTTCACACTTGAGGAGGAGGAGTTAGGAGCCGAGGAGCCCACCCATTGGAAGACTCCGCTTGACGGGGATGTGGATCCCGAGGTGGACGCTTAGAGCGACACTTTTATTTTGTTCTAGACTAGATTATGCTTAGAATATCCTTTTGAACTCTAGTTTATTTCTGTTATTTCCGCTGCGTTATATTATTACATTTTGGAGATGTAAAGGCCAAGATTAGACCTATTAATTTGGGATGATAGTGTGGATATGACATATGATGAATGCAAGTTTATTTTATGATGGAAAAATGGACCCGGTGTGGTCAATAGTTATGCATATGTGGACCCGGTGTGGTCAATTGTAATATAATTGTACAGGTTGTGTTTTGGGTAGAGCTCCCCGTACAAAGGAGACTCTGCCCAAATTTTGTTAAAATATGAATGGTTGATGAATGAAACTTTCGTCGTGATGAATTTTACTTAATGCTCTCATACGGTAAATGGTTGTTAGAATGTAATGTCACCCACGGGGGTTTTTGGGGCGTTACACAAATGAAGACAAAATATCTGATTTTTCAGATATTTGCCCACTTTTATACTTTCTAAACACTTGGCCCTCGTCGCGCCAAGTGTCGTCCTTTGTTCGGGTCCGTTTTCACCTCGAAACAATTAAATTTCGTACCGATTTAAGCTCAAAATATTTTATATGAACTTTATTTAAAATATTTTTCAAATTTTAAAATTTTTATAAAAATTTCGTTTTTAGGAGTCATCGAACACCCGTCATTTCGAAAAACGTAAAAAATATGACTATCTCAGAATTCGACAAAATTTGTCTGGGTAACTAGATTTCGTGAGACGAATCCAACGGTGAGATCCGTTTCATCATCCGAGGTCTATAAAAATACCAATTTTTTTTTTAACCCGCACTATAATGAAAAATTACCATTTTGCCATTTTTTTTTCAGAAAAAGTTAAAATTTTTCCCGGGTTTCACAGAAGTTGTGCAATTAAAACTGGTTTTGGTCCTCTTGAAGGGTTAAAGCCAGTTTATGTAATATACAATTTCAAACTGGGAATAAGTTCTCATTTTGAATTGTTGAAAGGATGAAAGTGCAGATTTCTGAGCAGCTAAAAGTGGTCCTCTGTGCTAGTGCAGATTGATGAGCAATTGAAAATTCGAATGGATTGGTATGCTAAGGATGAAGATGGCATAATGGAGCTAGTGCTTTGTTGTAGTCTGTTTTGTGTACTGGTGCAGTTTACTGAGCATCTAAACTAGACTGGGCTGGTTTGCTGGGATTGAGTTGGTAGGTTGTTGCCCAGTAGTTTCAGGAATACTGCATTTGTACAGAAAACCTGTTTTTCTTTGTTGTTCTGTTTTCTGTTATAAAACAGAAATTTTCTTTGTAACAGTTTTCTATTTTTTTTGGTTTTCTGTTAAAACAGATTCTATTTTTTCGATTAAACAGTTTTTGTTTTTTGATTCTTGTAATTTTGAGATTTATGCAATAAAATTTGAGATTAAAAAAAAAAAAAGATCCCTTGATCCCACTCTTGATTGCTACTGCACCGATCGGTCTCATGCTCTTGATCGTTACTCTTGCTCACCTGATCCCATTCTTGATCGCTACTTGATCGCTACTCTTGATCGCAAACCTCACTTGATCCCACTATTGATCGGATCCCACTTGATCGCTACTCTTGATTGCAAACCTACATTTGATCCCACTCTTGATCACTACTTGATCCCAATCTTGATCACTACTATTGATCGCTACCCAGATCTTGGTCACGATTGGATCACTATTCTTGATCACTAAATACAGTCCAAAAAAGTAGTAATATTAATCAAAAAAGTGGTAATATTAACCAAAAAATGGTAATATTAACCAACAAAAAATGGTACTTACCTCAAAAGTGTAATCTTAACCAAAAAAGTGGTAATGTTAATCAAAAGATTGGTAATGTTAACCAAAAAAATAGTACTCTTAACCAAAAAGTGTAATTTTAGCCAAAAAAGTGATTTTAACCAAAAGAGTGGAAATGTTAAACAAATAAATAGCAATGTTAACCAAAAAACTGGTTAGATTACTGAAAAAATTGTACTCTTAACCAACAAAATGGTACTCTTACCTCAACAGTGGTAATCTTAACAAAAAAAAATGGTAATTTTAATCAAAAGAATTGTAATGATAACTAAAAAAATAGTACTCTTAACCAAAAAAGTGTAATCTTAACCAAAAGTAATCTTAACCAAATCAATGGTATTGTTAACCAAAAAATAACCAATAAAATGGTACTCTTACCTCAACATGTAATCTTAACCAAAAGAGTGGTACTTTTAACCAAACACAGTGGTAATCTTAACAAAAAAAGTGATAATATTATCCAAAATAGTAGTATTCTTAACCAAAACAGTGATAATGTCAACTAAAATAGTGGTAATGTTAACCAAACGAGTGGTAACTAAAAGAGTGATAATTTTAACAAAAAAAGTTGTAATATTATCCAAAACAATGGTACTCTTAACCAAAACAGTGATAATATTGCCTCAAATCATGGGTAATTTTACCAAAAAAGTGGTATTAATAAAAAGTGATAATATGACACGAAAAAAGTTGTATTCTTACACCCAAAAAGTTGTATTCTAAGCCCAAGAAATTTGTATTTTACCCAAAAATGGTAATGTTAACTCAAAAAGTGGTAATATTTCCCTCAAAAGTGGTAATCTAACCTAAAAAATAGTAATCTTACCCAAAAAAGTTATAATCTTGTCTCAAATAAATTGTAACCTTATTAAAAAAAGTGGTATTTTTACAAAATAAAGGTGATAATATACCCAAAAAGTTGTACTCTTACACCCAAAAAAGTTGTATTTTAAGCCAAAACAAGTTGTATTCTAACCCAAAAATTGGTAATGTTAACAAAAAAAAATGGTAATCTTGCGTCAAATAATGGGTAATCTTACCAAAAAAGTTGTATTGTTACAAAATAAAAGTGATATGTTACACTCAAAAAATTGTATTTTTACACCCAAAAAAATTGAATTCTAAGTCCAAGAAAGTTGTATTCTAACCCAAAAATGGTAATGTTAACATAAAAAGTGGTAATATTTCCCTCAAAAATGGTAATCTAACCTAAAAAAATAGTAATCTTACCCTAAAAAGGAATAATCTTGCCTCAAATAAATGGTAACCTTATTAAAAACAGTGGTATTTTTACAAAATAAAGGTGATAATGTTATACCCAAAAAGTTGTACTCTTACACCCAAAAAAATTGTAATCTAAGCCAAAACATGTTGTATTCTAACCCAAAAACAAAATGGTAATGTTAACCAACAAAAGTGGTAATGTTGTCTCAAATAATGGGTAATCTAACCTCAAATAATTGGTAATCTTACCAAAAAAAGTGATAATATTACACCAAAAAAGTTGATACGTTTACCTCAACACGGTCATCTTTCCCTCAAAAAGTGGTAATCTTCTAAAAAAAAATGGTAATCTAACCCAAAAAACATGATAATATTGCCTCAAAAGATTGGTAATCTTACCAAAAATAGTGGTATTCCAACCAAATAAAATTGAAAATGTTACACCCAAAAAGTAGTATTCTTTATATGTAAAATGAGCTTGGTTCTTGTGGAAATACAGTTGCTGACTCTTTGGCCAATGCTCATACTCCCCCTTTCACTCTCAATTTACATACGAGACAAATTTTACTGCAAGATCAATGACAAATTAAATCACTGCGGTCTAAGATTAAAGTTCTCTATAGATTCAACGTCAAATTAAATCTAACAACGTCAAAAAATTACTAAACCAATAAATGTTGGACAATAAAAGTTTTTTAACAGCAAAGGTCTTTCGCTTTAAGTAATCCGAAAATGTCTTTGTTGCATAGATTATCATGAATAAAACTTTTCATTGTATGGAAAACACATCATGGAACACCAAATTGTTACCAGCACATTAACTTAACCCTCACAGACATATTGATTGGTTGTTTTAATGAGGAAGATACTACTATCACAACGACAATGAAAAAGAATGTCAGCATGCATAATGTATAAGTTTCATTTAATACAAAAGTTGAATGGTCAGAAGGAATGAGAATTTTATTGGTGTGTCAACACAATTCAGCATGATTTGACAAAATATCATCCAATAAGAAAAGACCAGATAGAAATTTTGTAATTAAAGTTAATCCAATGTCAGGGGAGGCAAAATTACAAAGCTTAGAACAATCAGAGCAAGGAAGTGTCCCTTCTCCAGTAGGCAACACCTCCTCTACTCCCACCCCTACTGCCCCAAACTCAAACAACTTGATAAGGGAAGATAGAGAAGACATGCTAGAATTCAAGTTGCAATTACAAGGGGCAAACTTTGCACAGAAAAATCAATCTTGGGCATATGTCAATTACCAGCAACCATTGTCTGTTCAATTTATTTATTCAACAGTAACACTATTATTGGGCCAAACCAATCTTAACTTTTCCCAAGGTAGCTACCCCTTCAAATGTGACAAAGCAAACATTGAGAGGGAGGGAATTCTAGGCAAATTACAAAAATGAATCTTTTGGAAGGTTGGCAAAATCAAGTTACAGAACATACTCATAAAGCTAAAGACACACACAGATGTTATCAACAAAGTACACATCCTATAACAAAATTGAGAATTTTACATGTTGCAAGTGATTAAACTTAAGGCACATAGACGTCATGGAACAAGAGTACCAAGTTGCAGGTAAAGGGTCAAGAAATAAAGCTTACATGAACTTGGTTCTCATTGTAGCATAGAGCTTCTCCAAAGTATCCATGAAGAGTCTTGGACAAGCTACAACATCCTCATATCTAGCCAGAGGAGGTGGATATGGATGATAGTTTAAGGGTGTTTCTTTCATAGGCAATGGACTCTGTTTAAGAGTGGAACATGATGCCATTTCCAACTTCCCACCACCACTTTCCTATGTCATTCCCTGCTCAACCACCAACCCTACACTCCTACCTACTTGCTCTTCGCTACATATCCATAAATGAAGAAATGGATAAACAAATATGTGTCATTTATATATAAGAATGAGTGAACAATATACAGAAAAATTATCAGTTGAAAATCATCAAACAGAGAGCATCTGCAGGGGAACTACGTAATGTAAATATCATAAAGGAAAATGGGAAGCAAAAAGATAGAAAATTGCCAGAAAAAAATGGTTAAGATTCCTCCCATGCACATAAAAGGTGAGAGAAATCTGAGAAGAGCCAAATTCTAAATAGAAACAGACAAATTATAAAAGTGAGCAAGGTAAAGGAAACAAAGCGACATAGGAAGCTTAAGACCCACTTTTTGGGCCATCTCTGCAAGAGCAAGGTCGCCTGACCACTCATACTTGTTTTGTGGGATCTAGCTCTCAAAGTGTTTGGCTTTTCTTCATCTGGTTCCCAATTGTCTCTTTGGCGACTATTATAGTCTTTCAGATTGTTTTGCAGGTTCCTAGGAGGCTTTTGGTCATACATTATCATCTGTCATTCAATCGCCTTATCAGTAACCCAGCCGTATTATCAATTGGCTTTTCGATCTCCTAGGTGCAACTGACTTATCACTGATAACTTACCGAGTCCTAATAAGGCCATTCAGTTGCCTAATTTGATAAGCCCCTCCACTTCTCATGGACAACTATTTTTTGCATCTCATTCAGCTGCTTTTCTCAATTGGCCTCAATCTCTCAGCTTTTGCTCGCAGCCCATTTAAAGCACTGTTACATTTCTAGGCAGCTGTTATTTTTGGAATGCTGGATTGCTCAAAATAGCTGCTACACGTTGCTGATCTTGGCTCTCTTAGCTACTATTCACGTGACTGTTCAACATTCTAGTACATTTCAGTAGCTTGTTTCATTAGTTAGGAAATTATTTTTTGTTTTTCCATGTAAAATCATGCATTAGAATTTTTAATTCCTTATCACATTGTAATTAGATTGCATTGAGGGTAAGGTAAATACGTCCCCCTAGCTAGGTTTAATTTAATTTTTAATCAACAAAATTCTCTCGCAAGTTCTCCAAAAAAAAATAAGGGTATATCTAAGTGAAAAAAAATTTGGAATGGAGAATGTAAATTAAACCTTTTCATTCAAAGTTGCAAAAAAAGTAAAATTTCATCAACTCATCTTGCTCCATGATCTTGGTGCCCACTGTAATAGCATAAATTGATAATCAGACGAACTTGAAAAATTTAGAAGAGAGCAAAGGGATACAAACTAAGTGTAGAGCCCCCGTATATATAGCCAATAAAAGTCACAATAAAGATAAAAAGGGAAAAAAGGGAAAACTTAATAAATCATAATAAACTAAGTTGCTATATCTCCAACACTCCCCCTCAAGTTAGGCACAAAAATATCAACTAAGTCAAGCTTGACAATTGAGTCCCGAAGAATGGATAGAGTGACAGATTTGGTGAAAACATCTGTAACCTGATCACTAGTCCCCACAAACGATGGAGTGACAATATCACTACTAACCTTCTCCCGAAGAAAGTGAACATTGATCTCTATATGCTTCGTCCTCTCATGTAATACAGAGTCAGAAGTGAGCTGAATAGCAGATCGATTATCACAATATAATGTAGAGGAAGAAGTCACTGGAAGTCCCAACTCGCCAAGAATCGATTGTAGCCAGATAATCTCACACGTGTCAAGTACTAGTGCCCGATACTCTGCCTATGTTGATGAGCGAGAGACAACTGACTGCTTCTTGCTCTTCCAAGAGATAAGATAAATTCCTCGAAAAACACAGAAACTCATAGTAGATCGACCGTCACATGCTCCCCCATAATCTAAATCTGAATAACATGCTAGAGAACTAATCTAAGATCCTGATGCATAGAACCACCCAAGTCCAAGACAAGACTTGAGGTACCGAAGAATATGATAAAATGCATCAAGATGAAGCTGACATAGTCTGTGCATGAACTGACTAACTCGGCTGACAGCGAATGAAATATCTGGCCTAGTGTTGGCTAGGTAAATAAGTCTACCTACCAACCTCTGATAGACAATCGGATCTCCCAACTCCTCACCTTCAACAATAAGCTTCAGGTTTGAAATCATGGATGATGATGCCGGTTTGTACCCCAGTGTCTGAAAAAAGATCCAGAACATACTTTCTCTGAGAAAGAACAATACCTCTGTTATTACGAGCAACCTTAATCCCAAGAAAGTATCGCAAAAATCTAAGATCCTTCACATCAAAGACTTTTCCAAGGTCTACCTTAACCTGCGCAGTCCCAGAAATATTATCTCCAGTAATAATAATATCATCAACATATATCAAAAGGATGACACACTATCCAGAAGTATTCCATTGAATGAAGCAGGTATGATCAGAATGACATCTGGTGAACCCTAAAAGTACAACTACATCACTAAAGCGAGAAAGCTAGGCTCGTGCTGACTGTTTCAGTCCATAAAGAGACTTACGCAGTCGACAAATCTTTTCAGCATACTCCCCCTCACCACAAAAGCCCGGTGGTGCATCCATATAAGTAATCTCGTCCAAATCACCGTGAAGAAATGCATTCTTCACATCCAACTGATAAAGAGGCCACGAGTATTCCGCAGCCAGAGAAATAATCAGTCAAACAGTAGTCAATTTTACCACGAGACAAAGGTAGCACCAAAATCACGACCTGGTACTTGAGTAAAGCCCTTCACCACAAGCCTAACCTTGTGACGATCAATAGTACCATCCGTAAGAAACTTAAGGGTGTAAACCCAACGACAGCCAACAGGCTTCACCCCTGAAGGTAAAGAGACAAGATCCTACGTATGATTACGCTGAAGAGCGTCCATCTCTATTTGCATGGCAAGAACCCACTGGGGCTCCCGCATAGCCTCTAAAACAGAGCAAGGAATCAGCGTATTTGATAAAGCCATACTATATGTTCGAAATGTAGGAGACAGATTACCATAAAAAATATAAACAGAGATCGGATATAAAATACTGACGGTCTAACCATAACGAACAACTGGACGATGATCACGTCGCGAATAACGACGCCCTCAATCAGCATCCTCCATTGATAATGTCTCATCAGGTAAAACAATTGGCTCAGTACCTGCAATCTTATCAGTACTAACAATAGGTGCATCAATATGTTCAACGAACTGAGAAGTATTATCTGCATCGCCTGAGGTAGAGGGGACATCAGCAAGGGATGAAAGCGAGAACGACAAACATAAACCTACAAAGGAGGAAGACTGGTGACTCTATATTGATAGGGATGAGTGGCTCTGAGGAGGAGAGACCAATGACTCTGTAGTGATAATGACCAATGGCTCTGACTCCAGTGGTAATGAAAAATCAAAGGGAGTATCATCAACTAGAGGGGCAGACACAGGACTGGAAGAAAAAGAAGGAATATGCTCAAGGAAGGTAACATCTAGACTGTGATACATACGTCGCCTGACAAGATCATAACATCGATACCCCTTAGACTGATGATAATAGCCCACAAAGACACAATAAATCGTTTTATCATCAAGTTTATGACAAGTAGGAGACCGATCTTGAACAAAATATGTGTAGTCAAAAACACGAGAAGGGATCAAAAAAAGTGTCAGCTCAGGGAATAAGACCTGTAAGGGAGCCCTATGCTGAAGAACACGACTCGATGTACGATTGCACAAAAAGGTAGAAGTCAAAATAGCAAAATTCCAATAAGATTTTGGTACCCCTATACCTCTAAGCATACAACGTACCATCCCTATCAGACTCTTATTTTTTCTTTCAACAACTCCATTTTGTTTAGGAGTATATGGACAAGTGAGCTGCTGAAGGATACCCTGAGAAAAAAGGTGAGACACTAAGGTATCAAACACATATTCTTTGACATTATCCAAACGAAGAGTACAAACAATGATATTGAATTGTGTCTTAATCATCTGAAGAAATTGAGTAATAACAGGGAGTACATCAGACTTTCTATGCAAAAGGTAGACCCAAGTACAACGGGTATGGTAATCTATAAATGTCACATAGTATCGGACACTTGATAGAGTAGTAACAGGAGAGGGTCCCCAAATATCCAAGTGTATTAGGTCAAATGGTTTGAGTGACTGGTGCATGCGAGGAATATAACTGGTCCAAACATGTTTTGATAGGGAACATATAACACAGTCAAGTTTACCACTAACACAAGCTTTGCTCAAAGCAGGAAATAACATACATAAATATTTAAAATTTGTATGCCCAAAATGATCATGCCATAACTGAACAGTTTGTGATGAAAAATCATAATAACAAGTATTAGGTAAAATACTAGCATGTAAGCTAGGAACAGATAAAGGCAATAGGTGATGGAGATAGAGGTGGAGAAACTGGTGAAACGGGAGGTGGATCGCCTAAATAATACAATCCATCTCTCTCATGTCCCCTGATAATAATCCTCTTAGTACTCAGGTCCTTCGAATAACACGAATCAGATAAGAACACAACCGCACAGTGAAAATCTCTGGCTAACTGATATACAGATAATAGATTCATGACCAGCTTTGACGCATGAAACACCAAACGTAATGTAAAGCCATCTGGGAGGCGGACTGTGTCCCTACTAACAATAGCGGATCTGCTAACTGAACTTGAGTATGTAACTGCTCGTCAAAAGAGGTGAAATGATGGGTCTCACCTATCATATGACCATTAGTACCCGAGTCTAACATCCAAAGAGGAGATGAACTGGCGCAAGTATGAAAGACACGAGGTATACCTGTAGTAATGACAGTAGTAGTAGATGAACCTTGAGAAGTCAAGGCTGATATAAGTATATTCAAGCGAGAAGTGATAACATCCATATCACTCTGTCAAAGAGGAGCAGTAGCAGTAGTAGTAGGAGCAATGATTTTAGGTGGTGGTGCCTTAGCAATGATAGCAGTATGGCTGCGAGGAGGCG